GATGGTGTCCTGATCAAGAGGTAGCTGTTCTGTATACCTATAATATAAAATGTAGAATTATCCACCAGGAGCAGCAAACCAAGACACAGTGCTGACCTTAATTGTCTACTGCATGAAACATACTTGCTCTAATGATTTGTGGTTTCTTGCCTAACTGCTGACAATTTCACATTCTCTTTTATTCATAGACAAATGTGATTCTCTTCTTGCTTGTTGATTTCAATTACTATTAGTAAAACGTTTTAAAAAAAAAGACACTACTTAAAAAAAAAACAAAAAAAAGGCAGACTTGATGGACCACTCAGTCTTTTTTTCTGCCATAATTTTTCTGTGTTTCTATGTTTAGTACTGATTTGTTTGTAAAAAATGATTGCAGTGCTGAGAGGCTATGCTCAGATTGCTGTGATTTCTAGTTCCAGATATTAAAAAAAGTGGTCAAGAGAACAGAATAGAGAATATGTTCATCAAGTTAATTCTCACAAACCCTACTTTATACAAAAAATAAAAAGATCCCAGTTAGTAAAATTTAGACAGGGTTCAGCATCTACTATGTATTTATAGACATGCAGGTAGCGCATTCTAATTTTTTTTCAAGAAAATGTCCAACACTTCTTGAAACAATCTACTGAATCTGCTATAACTGGTTCGCATGGAAGACTATTCGATACTTTCACAGGTGTTACAGAAAAGAACCAGAGCTCGAGATTAAACTTCTTATGATTGTAAGGGCTGCCCTTGTGCCTTTTGTGGTGACTTTTAAATGAACAATTTTCCATAGAACTCTTTGGGGTTTATAGGGTTGAATAAACTGATCACATTCGCTTTTATCACCACTTCAAAAGGCTGAATAATTTCAGTGGTATGAGTGTTATATCATCACAGTATACAGTATGTACCTTTCAGTTGCTTATTAGTTTAGTTCTCCTTCTTTGTACTCAAGAATTGGTGATTGCAAATGAGCTGCATATAGAAAATGATGGCAAGCTAATGCTTTGTACAGTTGCAAAATATTGTGTCTTTCTCTTTATTCTATGCTTCCATTATTAAAAGAGAGTATATTGTTAGCTGTAGATGCCCTAACATGGTAAGCTAGCGAGGATGTCAAGTCCCCAAATGCATAACTCATTTCTGTCAGGTTCCTATGGTAGTGAGTAGAGATGAGCGAAGTATTCAAAAATTCGATTCGACTGATTCGGCGAATTCGTGGAAAAATTTCGATTCGAGTCGAATATATTCGCTGTGAATTTAACTTAAAAAAGGGTGTTTCTAGGCTTCAGAGAGACTTAATATTAGTGCTGAACACTGTACCTTTAATTTAAATGCCCTTGGAGTCTGCTGGGGAAGAGAAATAATACTGTCAGGCAGTATGACATGCAGATGAGTGCCGTCGATCTTAGAATCACCGCACACTTCACTCATTTGGGCCAGTCACGGGGCCAAAACCAGAGTGTGGAGCCACAGTGTGGCGGTGGAGGCAGCAGCAATGGGAGGCCATACAGCACCCTATGACAAAAATGGAAACCACCAGCAGTGTGAGGAGAGACCTGAAAGTGGCACATGGCAGAGTGTGGCGATAGAGACAGCAGCAATGGGAGGCCGTACAGGGACCCATGACACACTCTGGACCTGGCAGCAGCATGAGGAGGCGGTACAGGGGCCCATGGCAGATTACGGGCCTGGCAGCAGCAGCATGAGGACTCGGTACGGGGGCCCATGGCAGATTACAGGCCTGGCAGCAGCAATGGGAGGCCGTACAGGGACCCATGACACAATCTGGACCTGGCAGCAGCATGGGGAGGCGGGGTACAGGGGCCCATGACAGATTACGGGCCTGGCAGCAGCATTTGGAGTCGGTACGGGGGGCCCATGACACACTCTGGACCTGGCAGCAGCATGAGGAGGCGGTACAGGGGCGCATGACAGATTACGAGCCTGGCAGCAGCAACTTGGACAGGAGGACGTTCAGTTTCTGCACCGTCTGGTGCGTGCTCGCAAACTGTTGTCTCTTGGAAACGGATTCCAAGAAAGACTGCTGACGGAATCCGTGAAGAGGAGTAGCAGGAGAAGGAGCATCTGAACGAGCGGAATATGCCAACAAGCGACAACAGGGGCCCATGACAGATTACGGGCCTGGCAGCAGCATGAGGAGTCGGTACGGGGGCCCATGGCAGATTAGGGGCCTGGCAGCAGCTATGGGAGGCCCGTAATCTGCCAGCACCCTATGACAAAAAATGGAACCCACCAGCAGTGTGAGGAGACCTGAAAGTGGCACATGGCAGAGTGTGGCGATGGAGACAGCAGCAATGGGAGGCCGTACAGGGACCCATGACAGACTCTGGACCTGGCAGCAGCATGAGGAGGCGGTATAGGGGCCCATGGCAGATTAGGGGCCTGGCAGCAGCTATAGGAGGCCCATAATCTGCCAGCACCCTATGTCAAAAAATTCAACACACCAGCAGTGTGAGGAGACCTGAAAGTGGCACATGGCATGAGACACTGTGGACCTGGCAGCAGCATGAGGAGGCAGCATGGTATATAGGGGCCCATGGCAGATTAGGGGCCTGGCAGCAGCTATGGGAGGCCCGTAATCTGCCAGCACCCTATGTCAAAAAAAATTCAACACACCAGCAGTGTGTGAGGAGACCTGAAAGTGGCACATGGCAGAGTGTGGCGATGGAGACAGCAGCAATGGGAGGCCGTACAGGGACCCATGAGAGACTCTGGACCTGGCAGCAGCATGAGGAGGCGGGTATATAGGGGCCTATGGCAGATTAGGGGCCTGGCAGCAGCTATGGGAGGCCCGTAATCTGCCAGCACCCTATGTCAAAAAATTCTACACACCAGCAGTGTGTGAGGAGACCTGAAAAGTGCACATGGCAGAGTGTGGCGATGGAGACAGCAGCAATGGGAGGCCGTACAGGGAACCATGAGAGACTCTGGACCTGGCAGCAGCATGAGGAGGCGGTATATAGGGGCCATATGGCAGATTAGGGGCCTGGCAGCAGCTATAGGAGGCCCATAATCTGCCAGCACCCTATGTCAAAAAATTCAACACACCCAGTGTGTGAGGAGACTGAAAGTGGCACATGGCATGAGACACTGTGGACCTGGCAGCAGCAGCATGAGGAGGCGGTATATAGGGGCCTATGGCAGATTAGGGGCCTGGCAGCAGCAATGGGAGGCCCGTAATCTGCCAGCACCCTATGTCAAAAAATTCTACACACCAGCAGTGTGTGAGGAGACCTGAAAGTGGCACATGGCAGAGTGTGGCGATGGAGACAGCAGCAATGGGAGGCCGTACAGGGACCCATGAGAGACTCTGGACCTGGCAGCAGCATGAGGAGGCGGTATATAGGGGCCTATGGCAGCAGATTAGGGGCCTGCAGCAGCAATGGGAGGCCCGTAATCTGCCAGCACCCTATGTCAAAAAATTCTACACACCAGCAGTGTGTGAGGAGACCTGAAAGTGGCACATGGCAGAGTGTGGTGGCGATGGAGACAGCAGCAATGGGAGGCCGTACAGGGACCCATGAGAGACTCTGGACCTGGCTGGCAGCAGCATGAGGAGGCGGTATATAGGGGCCTATAGGGGCAGATTAGGGGCCTGGCAGCAGCTATAGGAGGCCCGTAATCTGCCAGCACCCTATGTCAAAAAATTCAACACACAGCAGTGTGTGAGGAGACCTGAAAGTGGCACATGGCAGAGTGTGGCGATGGAGACAGCAGCAATGGGAGGCCGTACAGGGACCCATGAGAGACTCTGGACCTGGCAGCAGCATGAGGAGGCGGTATATAGGGGCCTATGGCAGATTAGGGGCCTGGCAGCAGCAGCTATGGGAGGCCCGTAATCTGCCAGCACCCTATGTCAAAAAATTCTACACACCAGCAGTGTGTGAGGAGACCTGAAAGTGGCACATGGCAGAGTGTGGCGATGGAGACAGCAGCAATGGGAGGCCGTACAGGGACCCATGACAGACTCTGGACCTGGCAGCAGCATGAGGAGGCGGTATATAGGGGCCTATGGCAGATTAGGGGCCTGGCAGCAGCTATGGGAGGCCCGTAATCTGCCAGCACCCTATGTCAAAAAATTCTACACACCAGCAGTGTGTGAGGAGACCTGAAAGTGGCACATGGCAGAGTGTGGCGATGGAGACAGCAGCAATGGGAGGCCGTACAGGGACCCATGAGAGACTCTGGACCTGGCAGCAGCATGAGGAGGCGGTATATAGGGGCCTATGGCAGATTAGGGGCCTGGCAGCAGCTATGGGAGGCCCGTAATCTGCCAGCACCCTATGTCAAAAAATTCTACACACCAGCAGTGTGTGAGGAGACCTGAAAGTGGCACATGGCAGTGAGTGTGGCGATGGGAGCAGCAGCAATGGGAGGCCGTACAGGGGACCCATGGCAGACTTGGAGCCTGGCAGCAGCATGAGGAGGCCCGTAATCTGCGGTATATAGGGGCCTAATAAACACACAGATTAGGGGCCTGAGCAGAGATGGGAGTGGCCCATCTGCAGCACCCTATGTCAAAAAATGGAGACAGCAGCAATGGGAGGCCGTGTAGGGTCCCATACCTGGGTGGCAGCATGAGGAGGGCTTGGTAGGGGCACACCAGCAGATTTGGGGCCTGGACCAGCAGCTATGGAGGAGTGTGGTAATCTGCCAGACACCCTATGGGTCGTAAGGGACCCTGACACCAGCAGGTGTGAAAGGCAGGCAGCATGAAAGACAGCAGCAATGGGGATATAGGGGGCCCATGGCAGATTAGGGGCCTATGGCAGATTAGGGGCAGCAGCTATGGGAGGCCCGTAATCTGCCAGCACCCTATGTCAAAAAATTTCAACACACCAGCAGTGTGAGGAGACCTGAAAGTGGCACATGGCAGAGTGTGGCGATGGAGACAGCAGCAATGGGAGGGCCGTACAGGGACCCATGAGAGACTCTGGACCTGGCAGCAGCATGAGGAGGCGGTATTATATAGGGGCCTATGGCAGATTAGGGGCCTGGCAGCAGCTATGGGAGGCCCGTAATCTGCCAGCATGGGAGGCCAAAATTCTACACAGCAGTATGTCTGAAAAACATGGCAACACACCAGCAGTGTGTGAGGGACCTGAAAGGGCACAGTGTGGCATGAGACACTCTGGACCTGGCAGCAGCATGAGGAGGCGGTGGTATAGGGGCCCATGGCAGATTAGGGGCCTGGCAGCAGCTATGGGAGGCCCGTAATCTGCCAGCACCCTATGTCAAAAAATTCAACACACCAGCAGTGTGTGAGGAGACCTGAAAGTGGCACATGGCAGAGTGTGGCGATGGAGACAGCAGCAATGGGAGGCCGTACAGGGACCCATGACAGACTCTGGACCTGGCAGCAGCATGAGGAGGCGGTATATAGGGGGCCTATGGCAGATTAGGGGCCTGGCAGCAGCTATGGGAGGCCCGTAATCTGCCAGCACCCTATGTCAAAAAATTCTACACACCAGCAGTGTGTGAGGAGACCTGAAAGTGGCACATGGCAGAGTGTGGCGATGGAGACAGCAGCAATGGGAGGCCGTACAGGGACCCATGAGAGACTCTGGACCTGGCAGCAGCATGAGGAGGCGGTATATAGGGGCCTATGGCAGATTAGGGGCCTGGCAGCAGCTATGGGAGGCCCGTAATCTGCCAGCACCCTATGTCAAAAAATTCAACACACCAGCAGTGTGTGAGGAGACCTGAAAGTGGCACATGGCAGAGTGTGGCGATGGAGACAGCAGCAATGGGAGGCCGTACAGGGACCCATGAGAGACTCTGGACCTGGCAGCAGCATGAGGAGGGGGGTATATAGGGGCCTATGGCAGATTAGGGGCCTGGCAGCAGCTATGGGAGGCCCGTAATCTGCCAGCACCCTATGTCAAAAAATTCTACACACCAGCAGTGTGTGAGGAGACCTGAAAGTGGCACATGGCAGAGTGTGGCGATGGAGACAGCAGCAATGGGAGGCCGTACAGGGACCCATGAGAGACTCTGGACCTGGCAGCAGCATGAGGAGGCGGTATATAGGGGCCCATGGCAGATTAGGGGCCTGGCAGCAGCTATGGGAGGCCCGTAATCTGCCAGCACCCTATGTCAAAAAATTCTACACACCAGCAGTGTGTGAGGAGACCTGAAAGTGGCACATGGCAGCAGAGTGTGGCGATGGAGACAGCAGCAATGGGAGGCCGTACAGGGACCCATGAGAGACTCTGGACCTGGCAGCAGCATGAGGAGGGCGGTATATAGGGGCCTATGGCAGATTAGGGGCCTGGCAGCAGCTATGGGAGGCCCGTAATCTGCCAGCACCCTATGTCAAAAAATTCTACACACCAGCAGTGTGTGAGGAGACCTGAAAGTGGCACATGGCAGAGTGTGGCGATGGAGACAGCAGCAATGGGAGGCCGTACAGGGACCCATGAGAGACTCTGGACCTGGGGCAGCAGCATGAGGAGGCGGTATATAGGGGCCTATGGCAGATTAGGGGCCTGGCAGCAGCTATAGGAGGCCCGTAATCTGCCAGCACCCTATGTCAAAAAATTCTACACACCAGCAGTGTGTGAGGAGACCTGAAAGTGGCAACAGGTGGAGTGTGGCGATGGAGACAGCAGCAATGGGAGGCCGTACAGGGACCCATGAGAGACTCTGGACCTGGCAGCAGCATGAGGAGGGGCGGTATATAGGGGCCCATGGCAGATTAGGGGCCTGGCAGCAGCTATGGGAGGGCCCGTAATCTGCCAGCACCCTATGTCAAAAAAATTAACACACCAGCAGTGTGTGAGGAGACCTGAAAGTGGCACATGGCAGAGTGTGGCGATGGAGACAGCAGCAATGGGAGGCCGTACAGGGACCCATGAGAGAGACTCTGGACTCTGGACCTGGCAGCAGCATGATGAGGAGGCGGTATATATAGGGGCCTATGGCAGATTAGGGGCCTGGCAGCAGCTATGGGAGGCCCGTAATCTGCCAGCACCCTATGTCAAAAAATTCTACACACCAGCAGTGTGTGAGGAGACCTGAAAGTGGCACATGGCAGAGTGTGGCGATGGAGACAGCAGCAATGGGAGGCCGTACAGGGACCCATGAGAGACTCTGGACCTGGCAGCAGCATGAGGAGGGCGGTATATAGGGGCCTATGGCAGATTAGGGGCCTGGCAGCAGCTATGGGAGGCCCCGTAATCTGCCAGCACCCTATGTCAAAAAATTCTACACACCAGCAGTGTGTGAGGAGACCTGAAAGTGGCACATGGCAGAGTGTGGCGATGATGGAGACAGCAGCAATGGGAGGCCGTACAGGGACCCATGAGAGACTCTGGACCTGGCAGCAGCATGAGGAGGCGGTATATAGGGGCCTATGGCAGATTAGGGGGGCCTGGCAGCAGCTATGGGAGGCCCGTAATCTGCCAGCACCCTATGTCAAAAAATTCTACACACCAGCAGTGTGTGAGGAGACCTGAAAGTGGCACATGGCAGAGTGTGGCGATGGAGACAGCAGCAATGGGAGGCCGTACAGGGACCCATGAGAGACTCTGGACCTGGCAGCAGCATGAGGAGGCGGTATATAGGGGCCTATGGCAGATTAGGGGCCTGGCAGCAGTATGGGAGGGCCCGTAATCTGCCAGCACCCTATGTCAAAAAATTCTACACACCAGCAGTGTGTGAGGAGACCTGAAAGTGGCACATGGCAGAGTGTGGCGATGGAGACAGCAGCAATGGGAGGCCGTACAGGGACCCATGAGAGACTCTGGACCTGGCAGCAGCATGAGGAGGCGGTATATAGGGGCCTATGGCAGATTAGGGGCCTGGCAGCAGCTATGGGAGGCCCGTAATCTGCCAGCACCCTATGTCAAAAAATTCAACACACCAGCAGTGTGTGAGGAGACCTGAAAGTGGCACATGGCAGAGTGTGGCGATGGAGACAGCAGCAATGGGAGGCCGTACAGGGACCCATGACAGACTCTGGACCTGGCAGCAGCATGAGGAGGCGGTATATAGGGGCCCATGGCAGATTAGGGGCCTGGCAGCAGCTATGGGAGGCCCGTAATCTGCCAGCACCCTATGTCAAAAAATTCTACACACCAGCAGTGTGTGAGGAGACCTGAAAGTGGCACATGGCAGAGTGTGGCGATGGAGACAGCAGCAATGGGAGGCCGTACAGGGACCCATGAGAGACTCTGGACCTGGCAGCAGCATGAGGAGGCGGTATATAGGGGCCTATGGCAGATTAGGGGCCTGGCAGCAGCTATGGGAGGCCCGTAATCTGCCAGCACCCTATGTCAAAAAATTCTACACACACACCAGCAGTGTGTGAGGAGACCTGAAAGTGGCACATGGCAGAGTGTGGCGATGGAGACAGCAGCAATGGGAGGCCGTACAGGGACCCATGATGAGAGACTCTGGACCTGGCAGCAGCATGAGGAGGCGGTATATAGGGGCCTATGGCAGATTAGGGGCCTGGCAGCAGCTATGGGAGGCCCGTAATCTGCCAGCACCCTATGTCAAAAAATTCTACACACCAGCAGTGTGTGAGGAGACCTGAAAGTGGCACATGGCAGAGTGTGGCGATGGAGACAGCAGCAATGGGAGGCCGTACAGGGACCCATGACAGACTCTGGACCTGGCAGCAGCATGAGGGAGGCGGTATATAGGGGCCTATGGCAGATTAGGGGCCTGGCAGCAGCTATGGGAGGCCCGTAATCTGCCAGCACCCTATGTCAAAAAATTCAACACACCAGCAGTGTGTGAGGAGACCTGAAAGTGGCACATGGCAGAGTGTGGCGATGGAGACAGCAGCAATGGGAGGCCGTACAGGGACCCATGAGAGACTCTGGACCTGGCAGCAGCATGAGGAGGCGGTATATAGGGGCCCATGGCAGATTAGGGGCCTGGCAGCAGCTATGGGAGGCCCGTAATCTGCCAGCACCCTATGTCAAAAAAAAATTACACACCAGCAGTGTGTGAGGACCTGAAAGTGGCACATGGCAGAGTGTGGCGATGGAGACAGCAGCAATGGGAGGCCGTACAGGGACCCATGAGAGACTCTGGACTTGGCAGCAGCATGAGGAGGCGGTATATAGGGGCCTATGGCAGATTAGGGGCCTGGCAGCAGCTATGGGAGGCCCGTAATCTGCCAGCACCCTATGTCAAAAAATTCAACACACACCAGCAGTGTGAGGAGACCTGAAAGTGGCACATGGCAGAGTGAGTGTGTGGCGATGGAGACAGACAGCAGCAATGGGAGGCCGGCCGTACAGGGACCCATGACAGACTCTGGACCTGGCAGCAGCATGAGGAGGCGGTATATAGGGGCCCATGGCAGATTAGGGGCCTGGCAGCAGCTATGGGAGGGCCCGTAATCTGCCAGCACCCTATGTCAAAAAAATTCTACACACACCAGCAGTGTGAGGAGACCTGAAAGTGGCACATGGCAGAGTGTGGCGATGGAGACAGCAGCAATGGGGAGGGCCGTACAGGGACCCATGAGAGACTCTGGACCTGGCAGCAGCATGAGGAGGAGGCGGTATATAGGGGCCTATGGCAGATGGCAGATTAGGGGCCTGGCAGCAGCAGCTATGGGAGGCCCGTAATCTGCCAGCACCCTATGTCAAAAAATTCTACACACCAGCAGTGTGTGAGGAGACCTGAAAGTGGCACATGGCAGAGTGTGGCGATGGAGACAGCAGCAATGGGAGGCCGTACAGGGACCCATGAGAGACTCTGGACCTGGCAGCAGCATGAGGAGGCGGTATATATAGGGGCCTATGGCAGATTAGGGGCCTGGCAGCAGCTATGGGAGGCCCGTAATCTGCCAGCACCCTATGTCAAAAAATTCTACACACACACCAGCAGTGTGTGAGGAGACCTGAAAGTGGCACATGGCAGAGTGTGTGGCGATGGAGACAGCAGCAATGGGAGGCCGTACAGGGACCCATGAGAGACTCTGGACCTGGCTGGCAGCATGAGGAGAGGAGGAGGCGGGTATATAGGGGCCTATGGCAGATTAGGGGCCTGGCAGCAGCTATGGGAGGCCCGTAATCTGCCTGCCAGCACCCTATGTCAAAAAATTCTACACACCAGCAGTGTGTGAGGAGACCTGAAAGTGGCACATGGCAGAGTGTGGCGATGGAGACAGCAGCAATGGGAGGCCGTACAGGGACCCATGAGAGACTCTGGACCTGGCAGCAGCATGAGGAGGCGGTATATAGGGGCCTATGGCAGATTAGGGGCCTGGCAGCAGCTATGGGAGGCCCGTAATCTGCCAGCACCCTATGTCAAAAAATTCTACACACCAGCAGTGTGTGAGAGAGACCTGAAAGTGGCACATGGCAGAGTGTGGCGATGGAGACAGCAGCAATGGGAGGCCGTACAGGGACCCATGAGAGACTCTGGACCTGGCAGCAGCATGAGGAGGCGGTATATAGGGGCCTATGGCAGATTAGGGGCCTGGCAGCAGCTATGGGAGGCCCGTAATCTGCCAGCACCCTATGTCAAAAAATTCTCAACACACACCAGCAGTGTGAGGAGGAGACCTGAAAGTGGCACATGGCAGAGTGTGGCGATGGAGACAGCAGCAATGGGAGGCCGTACAGGGACCCATGACAGAGACTCTGGACCTGGCAGCAGCATGAGGAGGCGGTATATAGGGGGCCCTATGGCAGATTAGGGGCCTGGCAGCAGCTATGGGAGGCCCGTAATCTGCCAGCACCCTATGTCAAAAAATTCAACACACCAGCAGTGTGTGTGAGGAGACCTGAAAGTGGCACATGGCAGAGTGTGGCGATGGAGACAGCAGCAATGGGAGGTCTCCCATTGTCCCAACATGGCCCAAATAGTCCCAACATGGGCCCCCTGGCCACGCTTGACTTTCTGGCCACATAGTCGACATACGGCTACGTTTACTTCCTCGGGCGGCTTGACGAAAAATTGCCCACACCGCCGAGTAGGAAACTTTGCCCCCGATACTCCTCACTGGCTGACTGCTGCTTCCTCCGTGCACACCGGCACCACTACTGGCCGTGGTGGTAGGCTGCAGGGAGCT